TAAGGGTCCACAAGGGAGGGAGGAGCGGGGAGAGAGGGGGAGGGGAAAAGGAAAATGAGGAGCTAATTCCAGGAACCCAAGCGGAAAGCAAATTTTGAGAATGATGAGGGAATATTCCAAGAAGGAATATTTGCTTCCAGAATTTATCTATCTGGCTGAAACACTCTTTAATGTTTCCCTCTTCATCTTTGTGATGGCTTCTCTTCAAAGAAAGCTATATGAAGAAAAAGATGAAAGCATCCCTGATGGTGCTGTGGTAAGGAACTGGGCTGCTAACTGCAAAGTCACTGGTTCAAACCCACCAATTGCTCCGAGGGAGAAAGATGAGGGAACCCACTCCATTAGCAGTGGGGTTGGTTTGTTCAAATAAACTACATAAATAATAAAGGAAAGAAAAGAAAAAGATGAGTCAAGATTCCTACTGGAATTACAAGCAAAGCAAGAAGAAGTTTGGTAAACTAAGAATTTCTTTGTGGGCAGGAAAACTGAGCCAGCTCATCCTATGAAAAGGTCGTTCTTAGCATAACCTGATTAGAAAAGATACTTTATTTTTACCTTCACTGCCTTCTTCACGTTTTCTGCCTCTGTCCTTTCCATCGTCATCTTCAGAGTTTTCTACTTCCTGAATAACAAGCCTTTTTCCTTTGGTTTGAGTCTTAGGTACAGGTTGAGCATTTTTCAGATCCTCTTTAACTTCTAACAACATTTTCTGTAACATAAATAGCACCAAATTAAAGGGTCACACACACAAACACACACCACACACGCAGGCATTACACAAGAATACATAGATATTTTTAAATGAACAAAAATTAACAAAGATAAGGCTTTTATGGTGAGATAGTTTATTGTGCCAGCCTGGCCGATAAACACAAGTGGGATTAACTGAAGGGCAGAGAGATAAATGCCTTGGTGAGTCTCGCCTTTCTTGTCTCTCGCTCTTTGATCATCGGACCAGTGTGCGGCTGCCTTGCTTGTCCTGTGCCTCAATTTAAAAGCTACACTACCTATGGGACCCCTAGCCCGTGGACTGTGTCGCTGTAAGTTGAGGTCCCTTTAAGACATCGCTGGAGCTGGGGACTGGCAGTTGGTGACCTGGCTGGCAGTTGGTGACCTGCCTTGTGATTGGCTGCTGTGCTGACATAGCCTAGCTCTCTCTATAAATAGAGGAAGATCTGGCAGCAGACTGGACTGGAAGGACTGCTAGTCTCTCACATCTCTCTCACGGCAGTGAGTTGAATTGAGCCATTTGTAGTGCTTTATAATTTAACTGTTTCTTTCTTGTATTATATATTTAACTATATATGATTTAACAGTTCATTCCTTGTTATATATCTAATTATCTTTATAAATAAATATATTAAATTATCAGCAATTTGGTTTTATCTCTCTAGAGAACCCTGTCTAACACATATGGTAATCTTATTTTACTTTCCAACATGAAAACATCATTGCTATTTAAAAAATTAACATGCAACAAGTGTGAAAAAGGAAGAGCAGAGACCAACATAACCCATCACAAGACTTACTATAAACCCATCAAAATCAAAACTGTGGTATTTGCAAAAGAATAGAGAATTAAATCAGTGGAACAGAATAGAGTCCAGAAATAGAATCACACATATATAGTCAAGTGATCTTTAACCAAAAAAAGAGCAATTCAACAGAAAAAGTCTTCAACAAATGTCATTATAACCACTAGACATTCACGTCTGTTGGTCAAATTAATATAGACACAGACCTTATATATTTTTAAAAAGTTAATTAGAAATGGGTCACAGACTTAGTGTGCAACACTTGGCAATTTTAGTTCTACAGTTGTACAATGTTTGGAACATGACACAGGAGAAAGGCGGTAACTTTTTAGATGCAACACCCAAAGCACAATGGACGAAAGAAAAAGCTGACGTTAAAATCCAAAACTTGTGCTCTGCAAAAGACACTGCCAAAAAAATGAAAAATCAAGCCACAGGCTGCAATATAATCTTTGTGGTATAATAAATCACCCGATAAAGAATCTGTAGCTAAACTATAGAATGAACTCTTAAAACCCAACAAAAAAGAAACATCCCAACAGAGACAAAGGGTTTGAGACGCCTCATCAGAGAAGGTCTACAAATAGTACATAAGCAGATAAAGAGATGATCGATATAAGGAAGTGAGAATCATAAGTTAAAAAAATTAGATACAATTAGAATGGCTAAAATCCACAACATTTAAAACACCAAATGCTGCTAATATGTGAAACAACAGAACTCTCTCATTCTTGTTGATGGAAATGCAAAATGGACAAGCATTTGAAACTGGCAGTTTCTCACAAAGCTAAACAAAATCTTACCATATGATCTATAATCCAAAACTCCCCACCCACTGCCACAGACTCAGTTCCAATTCTGAGTAATCCTATGAAGGGTTTGTGAGGATTCAAAGCCCCATGATGGGAGTAGAAAGTTGCAACTTTTCCTTAGAGCAGCTGGTAGGTTTGAAGTGCCAATAACCCCCCTAGCAATTGCCCAAGTTAAAATTTTAAGCCTCCCCCCAATAAAATTTTTTTAAATTTTAAGCCGACAAATTAACCTGCTCTCAAATATTTACAGTTTTATTCAGCATTGTCCAAAATTGGAAACAAGATGTCTTTCAATAGGTCAACAGAAAACAAAAACAAAAACAAAAAAACCCCTATGGTATGTTCTGGGAATATTATTCATGATAAAAAGAAATGACTTATCAAGCCACACCCACAAATTAAAAATTTAAAAAACCCAACAACATAGGGGAGCCTTAAATGCAAGAAGGGACCTAAAAGACAGAAGCCAATCTGAAAGGTCACAATCTATATGATTCCAACTATATGACATTCTGGAAAGAGTAGGTGTGGGATCAGGATCACAGGTAGTAAGTTAAGCATCAGGCTGCTAACTCAAAGGCTGCTGGTTTGAACACACCAGCTGGTCAGTGGGAGCAAGACTAGGCAGCCTACTTCCTGCAGACACAGAGCCATGGATGGAAGACCTGGGGAACCCTTCTAGGGCCTGGAAGACCCAAGTTAAGGGCTTGGGCTGCGTGAGAGGAAGGTGAAACGGGGTGTTTAGGGCAATTAAATTAGCCTGTAGGATGCTGTAGTGACAGATACCTAACCTTATGCATTTGTCAGAATCCATCCAACTGTGGCAGCAACAATGAGCTCAGGTAAAGGAACAATTGTGAGGATGGCACGGGGAAGTGCTTTGTTCTGTTGTGTACTCTGGGTCGGAACCAATTCGATGACACCCAAGAATACAACTATGCCACACAGAGTGGACCCTGATGTAAACTATGGGCTTTCAGTTTACCTTTATAGTAGAACGGCTACACAGAGGTGCCAAGGATTTTTTTCCCCCCTGAAGCCGACTGCCTTGTCTTTCACCTGTGGCTCAGCTGGTGGATTCGGTTAGCCAACCAATAATTCACTGCTCCTTTAGAAGGCTCCAGTGTAGTGTAAACATAACTTTACATGCACTGGGAAACCAAATCCTGTGTGCGGCTCACTCTATTTATTTTTATTATCAAACTTCAAGAGTTTGGTTAATTTTCTCTCTCTCTTTTTTTATTTTCTCAGTAAACAGAACATATCCTTTCTTGGATACGTGATATGCAAATTTTCAGTAGTCACGTTTCTAATTTTGATGGAGTCCAATTTTTTCATCTTTCTTTCTTTTGTATTTTACTGTTGGGGTCATATCTAGTTGCCTACTCACTGGTCATAAAGATTGTCACCTATGTTTTCTTCTATAAGTTTTATATATATATATATGAAGGGGGTACCCTCCCCACAAAAAACAGAATTTTTACCCCCAAAGCTATATATTTTAAGGTTTTTTTTTTAATTTTATTTATTTTTTCATCTATTTATTTATTTATTTATTTATTTTTTAAGGCATTTTATTAGGGGCTCATACAACTGTTATCCCAATCCATACACACATCAAT